ATAGATGTAACAGTGGGAAGAGTATTTTGCCAAGTTCCAGCCTCCAGCACGGCAAAGGTGCCCTGGCTGGGGAGAGCGTTTATAAAACCACATTTAATAAAAGAGAGTGTTATATTAAGTGTGTTTGCTAGTGTATTTCAGCATATGGTTTCCATATCAGGCAGAAAGATGGCAAACACATGCTTTCTACCTTCCTTCGAACCTTTCTGAGAGGCGTTCTTTCTGATGGGTAGTGGGATGGGAAGGTTTTTGTTTGTTTGTTTTTTGTTTTGTTTTGGATGTGAGTGTGTTGTTTTGTTTGGTTTTACAACTCAAGCTCACATCGAAAAGCACGGAGGGACATTCAGCAAACGTGTGAAAACTGCTTTTTTTACTTACGTAATTAGCCCAAGAAAGTTGCCTAGCTGGCTTTCTGCAGAGGTCTTTACATTCTCCCAGATTCCCCCCCATCCTCTCCATAGCTAACTTGAGAGCGTGAATCCAGTTCAGCTGCACAGAGCTCCTGGATTTTAAACGTGAACTTGGCAATAACAACCTCTGAGAATGACTGCCTAGCTTTGTGTCCCCAAAAGTTTCTGCAGATCAACCACTCCCCTAGCCGTTTGTCTGTCCAGAGACCAGGTGTGGCACTTGGGGTTTTCTGTGTGTTGTATGCGTGTGTGTGGGTGCACTTGCCTCTGTGTGTGTGTGTGTGTGTGTGTGTGTGTGTGTGTGTGTGTGTGCGCGCGCGCGTGTGCGTGGAAGCCAGAGGTCAATGTCAGATGTCTTCTCCCTGGCACTCTTCACCTTGTTTTCAAACTAGGATCTTTCACTGAACCTAGAACTCATTGTTTGGGCTAAACTGACTGTCCGGTGAGCCCCAAGATCTGCCTGTCTCATCCCCAACACCTAGGTTATGGACACACGCCACCCCAACACCTAGGTTATGGACACACGCCACTGTGCTTCATTTCTAAAGTGAGTGGTGGGACTTTGAACTCAAGTCCTAGTGCCTATCACAGCATCTCCAGTACTGGGGATTTTATCTGCTAGGATCCTGTAGGTCAGAGGCTTTGGGATATGATAAGCATGGGATTCCTGGAAGGCAGCTAGAAACAACCTCTCTAGCCTACCACCATTAAATAATCTAACAAGTTCTCAATTTTAGGACGATCAGAGAGGCTGAGAGGCTATATTTGATAGGAAGTGGGTGGGGGCCTCTGTAGCCAGGCTGACTTGCCTCCCACCCCCTCCCTACTGACCTGAGAAGATCTGCCTGGGCCAGCTATAAATCTACTGGTACCATTTCTTTTTCGTCACTTTCCTAATCCTGTGCCCTTGGTTTCATGTGCTGTAATTATTAACATCTGCTTTCTGAGCCCAGCTCGCATGGAGTTTGCAAAGGCAGTTCTCGGTCCAGAACAATGGTGACAGCTGTTTCATTTAGCCCAGGGCCAGCACTTCCTGTTCAGTCTACATCTGCCCTTCTGTGTCCAATTTTGGTTTCGGGGGTTTTGTGTTTTGTTTTCTATTTTTTCCCTTCATCTGACCTTACTATATGTTTAAGAAGAATGTCTAACTTAGCACTGTAGCTAGAATTTCTAGCACATCTGCTTACTCTGTTGGCAACAGGCAGAGAAAGACATGAGAAGATCCAGACTGTATCCAGAGGCTAACATGGTAGAGGGAGGGGACAGAGTGAGGAAGTGGCTTGGGACCCTAGTAGCAGGCTCTGAAAAGATTCCTGAGGCCTGAAGGTGACCTCTCTGGAACTTAGGGACAGGAAAGAGTAGTTGATCTGTCTCCCAGTATGGGCTCATCTCCTCGGCTTCTTTGATGAGGGATCACCTGAACAATCCCCTCCAGGAAGAAGCACAGGGGTAGCCTCTCACATTCAGAAGCCCCTCTTCTTTGGGCAGCAAACAAGCTACTCAAATGAGGCAAGAGTTAGAGAGGTCCAGCTTCACTTTTCCCCTGAAGACAACAGCTCTGTGCCCGAAATCCCTTGACTTACTCAGGGAGTCCCTCAGGTTTAGTAAGGCAGTATGAAATGGATAGAATAAAGGAATATGGCTTTGCATGAACTGCCTGGGTCCCTTAGCATATGTGGGTATGTGTGTCTGTCTGGGACAAAGAAAATGGGAACTACACCCCTTTGTGCCCTCCCATCCACCCCCTCCCACCCCAGCTTAATTCCAGCTGACCCTCCCACCCCAGCTTAATTCCAGCTGACCCATACTTGATGTTTTCAGCCTGGCTGGCACATAGATAACAAGCTGTTAATCTGAGACCCCACTACAAGTGCCAAGTTAGATGCCCTCAGGCCCTGCTGGATAGTCATCACTCTGGCAGGGGAAAAACCCAATCTTCCTATGGATAAAGTCTTACAGGAAGGTACAATGTCCTGTGGATGCCCAAGGCACAGCATGAGAGTCTCAGGGGACAGAGGCACAGTAACTCGATGTCTGTGCTTTTCATTGGACCCAGGGAGGGCAAAGGCCCTGGAGTCTACCATCTCTTCCTTTATTTTCCTTAACAGAGAAAATTGAACCCCAGAGAGAAGAAACTACTAGTCTATAGCTTTGGTTTGGCCAAGCTTAACCTAGCAACACAGAGCCGTGTGTGTGAAGGACATCTCACCTGTGTGCTTCTCTTCACATCGCTGTAAAGTGTCCTTTTCCATCTTAGCTCTTCTCTGCTTTCCTTTTTAAGATTTGTTTTTTTAATCATGTGTGTACGTGTATAGGTGTGTTCATATGAGAGCAGGTGCCTGTCGAGGACAGACAGCTCAGATCGCTCTGGAGCTGGGATTACAGGGGGCCGTGAGCCTCCCAAAATAGGTGCTGGGAACTGAACTCAGGTCCTCTGCAAGAGCAGTATATGATCTTAACCACTGAACCATCTCTCCAGCTCCTCTTCCTTGACCTTCTAAGTGGCTCTGGACCCTATTCCTATGTAGGTAGAGTGAGGCAGCCCAGGGAGACCCTGAAGTACAGTTCTCTTGTCTGAAGCACACTTAAGCATGGTAGCTTCTGGCTGCTAATGGACAGCTGTCTCCCAGAAGCCCCTGAGGTAAGAACTGGCTTGGACCTGATATACCTGATGAGTGGTCAAAGACCTATGTCTTTTCAAGGCTGAGTACACAAAAGGGAGAGAAACAAATGAAAAAGTGACACAAGGAAGCGAAAAGCCCTAGGCTAGAGGTGACCACTTCCCCTCCTTGACTTGAACTGGAAGTAGCCAAGAGACACAATCCAGGCTGAAGGACCTTCATAAGCCCCTTCCAAAGCACTAGAATCCAAGATGCAAATTGAAGACTCTCAGTGAGGATAGCCAGGGCCTGCCACCTGCCCAAGAGCCTGCTCTGTGGTGGCTATGCCTGGCCATGCCCACTGTACCAGTCCCTGCCCCCACTCCCTGGCCCTGCCTCCCCCTCCACATTTCCTTCTCTTTCTCACTCACTCCTTTTCTTCTTAAAGTTAATTGCAACTTTTTTCTCAGCGCCCTGATCTGGATAAGCCACATCTCATTAGAAAAAGATTTAGCCAGAGCCAAAGCAGCCTGGAGAAGGAATCCCTAATCAACAGAGAAAAGATTTGGGTGTAATTGCTCTCTCTCGCCATTCTCGCCCCCTCCCTCTTCCAATCTTTTTCTGCTCATTAATCTGAAAAGAAAGTCACGGCTAATGTCTCAGTGTTCAAGTATCTGCTGCAGCAGCAAGCAAATCCAGGAGCTTGGGGATGGGGGTGAGGGATGTCTCACAGAGAGCTGTTGGTGGTTGGGGTGCATGAATGAAACAGTTGGTTTGTGGGGGCTGTGGAATCACTTGTGTTGGGAAAGTATGCATGTATATTTATGAAATGCTGTGGCTGTTGGGTGTGTTATGATTGGTTGTTGGTATGGGAGTATAAAGTGCTGATAATTGGGTATCTAGAAGAAGCCCTTCATATGCTGTGTGTGTGTGTGTGTGTGTGTGTGTGTGTGTGTGTGTGTGTGTGTGTGTGTGAAGCTCTTTGGTTAGTGCTGTGGGCATAATAAAATGCTCTGATTATTGAGTGCATGTATGAAGACTTTGCATTATTGGGCAGTGTGTGTGTACGTGTGTGTGTATATGTGTGTGTATGTGTGTGTGCTGTGTGTGTGTGTATGTGCGTATGTGTGTGTGTGACATTTTCTTCACAGGATATCGTGTATCACCTAATGCATGGCCCCTTTTTTTTCCCCCCTGCTTGAGTTATATTCTGACAGGTGCCTAAATGTTGACACAGGAACACTGAGCTAAGGAGCAAATCCTTTTCACAGGTGGGAGCCCTGGCCTTCCACTACCCAGCAATGCAATAGCACCATATTTTTATGTTACCCCTTCAAAATTCGGACTTTTTCCCAAATGACAAATTATCACTGGTTGGGGCAAAGTTGGATATTTGAATTTTTTGTTTGTTTTTATTTTTGTTTTTAATTGAAAAGGTAATGTGTGCTCAAAATTAGAAAAAAAAATAAAAAAGGCAGAAATACTCTTCCAGTAAAATGTCACTACTAAGAGGGGCTGAATCACAGAAGACACCCTCCTTGTCACCTGGACATCTTCCCTGTCCCCAGGTCTCCTTCCTAGTGACTCTTACCTGTACCTTCTAAGTGCAGGTGCTACACAGGTATGACTAACCTGAACTTGGTTTTTTACTTACCATACACCTCAGAGATTGTTCTCCCTAAGCACAGACCTACACTCATGCTTTGCTCTGATTTTAACATATAAAATGAGTTAATTCAGAGAAATAACAAGCAGGGCAGTGGTGGCTAGTGGCCCACTGAGGAGGCAGAGGCAGGTGGATCTCTGAGATTGAGGCCAGCCTGGTCTACAGAGTGAGTTCCAGGATAGCCAGGGCTATACAGAGAAACCCTGTCTCAAAACAACAACAAAAAAAGAAAGAAAGAAAGAAAGAAAGAAAGAAAGAAAGAAAGAAAGAAAGAAAGAAAGAAAGAAAGAAAGAGGAATAACAAAGTGCCTCTTTTCTGGACAGGCAGGGTGCTGGAGAACCAGTTCTGCCCAGTGAAGTATAACCATGGTGCCTGCATGATGCTGAGCCTCATGCTTTCATTCAATGTGCAGAAAAACCTAAGGAATCATGTCCCCATTCACAGATGAAGACACTGAGACAAAGAGAGATGCTGTCCAGATCCACATGCTTCACAACAAAGCCAGAACACAAACCCAGGCGGCCTGACAATGGGATTCTGAACAAGGGAAGGACCTTCAAGAAGCTAGGGACAAAGAGATAACAGATGAGTCTCTGATGCCCTCAGACGCACTACGATGCTTACAAGCCCTGAATCTGTGCCAGACTGCCTACGTATCTCACATGGTCTCATCCCGGGCATATAGGTCCTCACTGATGACACTTTGCTTCAGCTCTGTGGGCCTGACCTTGGCCCCCTCTGGAGCCTCAGGGATGGCTGCTGCTGGGAGAACTCAAGGTCCCACTTCTTGTTCCATCCAGGTAGGTAAAGCCAGGCTTGAGCCTCTATATGTTTCCAAAACAGCTCATTCACAATTACGATCTGCCTCCCTAATAATGATCAAGTAGTAACTATAGCCACAGAGGGCACGTTCACTCCAGCCATGGAGTTGTCTGATGCAGAAATAGCATCATTGTCTCAGGTGGCCAGGATCCTGGTTCCAGCAACTCTTCCATCAACACCTCATCCCATCTCAGATCACTGTGCTTGTGAAAAATCACTGCAGGACAGATGGCACAGGAATATTTACAGAAAGTGTGGAGTACTTGAAAGAAAGATTATCAAAGGTTGTTGGTGACCTGTTGAGAGCAAGGAAAAGCCAAGAACAAGACTGTCCACCTGGACAGTGAACACTGGTCACTCGAGGCTATAGAGCATTTGAGAAAACTGAGGTCAGTCAGGGTACACTGCACCAGACTCTGAAGACACTGTGTGAAATCAAACTGTAAGAGACCTGGAGACCTAGCTATTCACCAGACACCAGCATGTGAGTTTGAAGATGTGACATGAGATAACTTATAAAAACCAATAATGGTTCACATCAAATGCTTTGATCACCTGCCCCAAGTGTTTGTTTATTAATTTATTTATCTAGAGACAGGCCCTCGCTCTATAGCCTGGCTGTGTCTTTATGTGAACAATGCTGTCTGAACACAGATACGACTAACAATGGGAGAAGGCAGAAGTCTCATCACAAGGGCCAGCAGTGCCCACAGAGGCAGCCACAAGTCAGTAAAACTCCAAGAGACAAATTGTTGCCCTTGTGACATGCTGTGGGGAAGAGTTGCCCCAGTAACAGATGCAGACTGGGAATCAGGCTTTGGTTTGGTTTTGTAGGCAGGGTCTCATGTAATGTAGCAGAGGATGACCTTGAATTCAGATCCCCCTGCCTGTGAGTGTTGGGGTTACAAATACGTACCATCATACCCAGAATATGGAATCAAGGAAGGAAAAATAAAAGCCTTTGAGAGGACCTGACACTAGCCAGGGATGTGAAGCTATAGGATCTATCCTTGTACACACGGTCAGGCAAGCTGCAGGGATTAGTTTCTCTGTGTGAACTTGGGAAGTTTCTGTCTCAGTTTCTCCGTCTAGATTACATGCTATTTCAGTTCTGAGGGATCCATGGAGATGTCTCCTTCCACATGATTGAGAGTGACCTCAGGGCTAACTGGGTCTTTTGGTGAGGAATAACCTCTCTCAAGTCACCTGTAAATGAGAACAAAGAGCCTAGACTTTAAGAGTTGGTTGCTCTGAGAATTCATGGGAAAATGCCACTGACATATCTTGCATGTGTCTGGCATACAAGAAGCGCTCAATAAACGCTGGTTCATGTGATCATCCAAACAGTAATAGTCTGACCAGCTGATTGGCCAGTTCTGGGTCAACAGACTCAGGTGCTCTGGCAATGCCGATCTTGAAGCCCCACCCCAACTTCCAACCTGACACACTCAAATGGTGATTTGATCTGAGGCAGCTTCACCTTGAACTTGGCTTTTGAAGGTTTTGTTACCACGGCAATTCAATTCCCTGATTGAATGGGTAACAGAATCGCCCGTGAAGAGGGTTGACTGGCCCGGGTTGGGTGTAGGGTGTGGATCTGCTGGGGTGTCAAGAATAAGACTAGAGGCTTTGCAGCTGGGGTGGGTTAGGGGCTAAGTTCTTTCCCTAGATAGTAGAGGGCAAACGACATTTTCTGTCCTTTGGAGGAGTGACGCAGATCCTCTCCGCGGGCCTTCTCCACCCTCCTTCCACCGTGGGAGACTGGCTGACCTTGTTTCTATTCAACGCTCTTTCAAATTTTTACACCTGAATTTTGGTAAACAACCTCCTGTGCCATGGATAGGGGACTTATCGGCTCCCCAGCGGCCTCCTACACCAAACCCTTTTGTTAAGGGGAAAAGCCTGCCTTAGAAGTAAGTGGGGCGGGAGTTCACTCCTCCCCAGCGTTGCTATCTCAGGTTTCCAAGAATCTTGAGATCAAAGCGCCGCCGCTCAGCGGTCTCTGGCGTTCCTCGGCTGCCCTCTTCTGGGAAGTCCTGGTATGACGTGGTCTCCTGGCAGTCAAGCTAATTCACAAGGGATGAGGCCCGGTACTCAGTCAAAAAATATTTATTGAAAAGAAAACGCGCATGCGTCATAGTCCTGGTCACTTGGGATTTATCACTGAACAAAACAGACACATATCCTGTTCCCCTGCATCGTGGTTGTGTGAAATGGCCAGGGAGTGAAAAAATAAACAAAATGTAATGCGTGGCGGGGCCTGGAAACAGCGGGTGACACACAAAGCGAGCCGCAATTTAGTTTTCAGAGTCAGCTTCACGGAGAAGGTGACTTCTGGCCAAAGACTTGAAGAAAGCGAGAAGCATTGCTTTGGAAGTAAGAGTGTATAAGTGGCAGGGAGATAGCTCAGTCGGCGAAATGCTTGCTGTGTGTCAAGTCAGGTTACTGTTGCTGCGATGAAACACCATGACCAAAAGCAAGTTAGGGAGGAAAGGGTTTGTTTGGGTGACATATCCTGAATCACAGTCCACTGAGGGAAGCTGAGGCAGGAGCTCAAACTTCTCAGGAACCTGGAGGCAGAAGCCGATGCAGAGGCCGTGGAGGGTGCTGCTTACTGGTGGGCCCTCCTCCATTAATCACTAATTAAGAAAATGCCTTACAGGCTTGCCTGAAGCCCGATCTTAAGGAGGCATTTTCTCATTTGAGGTTTTCTCCTCTTAAATGACTCTAGCCTGTGTCGAGTTAACATAAAGCTACCCGACTCGCTGTGTAAGCGTGGGGACCTGGGCTTGATTCCCCAGAACACCGAGCTTATATTTTAAAAAAGCCAGGCAGGGTGGTTCATGCTTAGAATTCCAGTGCAGGAAAGGCAGAGGCAGGCAGATATCTGGGGTTCCATGGCCAGCCAGCCTAGCTGAATCAATGTACCTCAGGTCCCAATGAGAGACCCTATCTCAAAACACAAGGTGAGTGGTTCCCAAAAAAGGACACCCAAGGTTAATCTCTGGCCAAATTGTTCACACCACACATGCATACTCACACACATGTACATACACGGAAAGAGTGTGATTGGCAGAGGAAGTGGGTGCAAAGGCCCTGGGTTGGGAGTGTATGTGGGATATAGGGTGGCTGGAGGGAGGGAGCTAGAGAGGAGCCAGAGGGGTGAGCAGAGAGAGGAAGAAAGCCAGATGTCAGGGCCTCTTGGGCCAGCTTTAGAGACCACCTCTGTGACTGTACTCTGACTGATGGCTGAGTAGCTTAAACAACACACGTATATTTCCTTGCGTTTTTAGAGGGTGAAAATTCAAAATCAATGTGCCAGCCAATTCTGTTTTTTCAAGGACTGTCTTCCTGGCTTCAGGCTGCTGCCCCTGGCTGTTTCCTCACTGGGGTCTTTCATTGCTAAAGGTGCAGGCATGCAGCATTCTACATAAGAATGTAGGGGAGAACTTGAACCTTCCGCCCACTGGCTTTTGCTTCAGAGGTGCTTTTGGGGCCGGAGGACCATGATGCCAAGACAACAGGAAAATGGAGACCCAGAGATACTCTCGTGAGTCACTTCATTCACTCAGTGATGATGTAAATAGAATGGACCCCAAATTGAAGACTGCTAAAGTTGAAAGGCATTATGTGAGGGGAAAATGATGTGACTCACTGTGTGTGTGTGGGGGGCAGTGAGTGTGGGGGTATGAATGTAGGTGTAGAAGTGTGAGCATGTGTCTGTGTGTGTGAAGGTATGAGTATGTTTCTTTGGTGTATTGAGTATGGGGGTGTGAGTGTGTTTGTGTGAATGTAAGTGTGGATAGGTGTGCCTATAGAGGGTGTGAATGTGTCTGAGTGGGATATGGATGTGTGTGTATGTGAAATGTGGACATTGTGTCCACACTTATGTGTAATACCCAGCCCTTTGCTGATGCTCTGCAGATGTGACAGCTGGGAAGGTCCCATCTGCTGGCACCCCAGAGATCTGGCTACTGGGGCTGCAGTGCAACAGGGAAGCAGCTCAGGAACTGGAGGAGCCGATAACGCCCTTTGTCCTAGTCACCTATGCCCCAGCTTTTGCTCCATTGGGAAAAGTGTCTCCATCTCATGGAGGAGCTGTGGGGGTGGGTCTCTGCTATTTACTGAGCACGTTCTATGTGACAGACTCTGGCATGTGTGCTGGAGGTATTCTGTTTCAGTGTCAAGTTGTGTCAGTGTCAAAATTTCAGATCTCCTGGGGATGGGTTGCCTTGGCCCATGACATCCATGCCTGTGTCCCTTCCTTCCTCTTCCCTCCCTTTCCCTGCCTTTCTCTTCCCCTCCTTTCCCTGCACACCAGGAGGCTTGGTACTTTCTTCCCCCCTCCCCTACAGATCCCAGTGGTTGAAGGACTATGTGCTTCTAGAACCCCAGGTCTCCCACTCCATACTGTCCCTCCTGGGAAACTCATGAATGCCTCTGTGCGCAGGAAGTCCTCGCTTCCCATCCTGCATGACCCTCCAGTCCCTGATCTGAGAGTTTATTCTAGATTTCAAGTCTCTGCCTCTTTAGATCCAGGGCCATCGTTTTAAAAAGGAGAGCGATTGTGCTATTGTTTGTTTTCCTTAATGTCGTCTGTAACAATGCAAGGCTGGGAGGAGCCTGAAGTCTCTAGCAGGGCATTTGATAAACAGCTCCTTGAGGTTAATGCCTGGCCTGTCAGCCTGTCTTCACCACAGAATAAGTGCAGGTCACACAATAGAGAGAGCAATGGTTTTCTCAGATTTGGAGATAAACTGCTGCTTTTGTACCAACTGAGCTATTGTTCAAGTTGGGAGAAGGAGACCCAAGAACAGAAACAAGACTGGGGATGGAAGTCAGCCTCAGAGTCATCTATCTGTCTGTCTGTCTATCATCTATCATCTATCTATCTTCTATATAGCTATCATGTCATCTATCATCTGTCATCTATCAATCTATATTCTATCATCTATCTTCTATCTATCTAACATCTACCTAGCTATCATCTGTCATCTTCTATCATCTATCTATCTGTCTATCATCATCTATCCATCCATCCATTTATTTAAGGAACAGGCACAATTCTATTTCTAGATGTAATCAACTTCAAGTGAGGGACTGGAGAGATTGCTCCGGGGTTAAGAGTACTAACTACTCTTCCAGAGGACCAGAGATCAGTTCCTAGCACCCATATCAAATAACTCACAATCACTTGTAACTCCAGGGGATTCAGTGACCTCTTCGGAACTCTGCAGGCACATAAACACACACACACACACACACACACACACACACACACACACACACGTACACGCACACACGTAGGCAAAGGAGCTTTCAATCCACTAGTCTATTGGTGCCATTGCACAATGAGGGATATGCCACTGACTGTTTTTCTTTGAGATTATATAGTATGGGGTTGGGTGGTGGTGGTGCATGCCTTTAATCCCAGCACTCAGGAGGCAGAGCCAGGCGGATCTCTGTGAGTTCGAAGCCAGCCTGGTCTACAGAGTGAGATCCAGGACAGGCACCAAAAATGACACAGAGAAACCCTGTCTCGAAAAAACAAAAACAACAACAACAAAAAACAAAACAAAAGAAAAAAAGATGATATCATATGGTTTGATTTTGGGTGGGGGTATCCATCTAGGTCTTGGGTTACAGGTGGCAGAAGCCGTTATGCTTGCATTTGCTTTGCTTTTTGAGAATAGATTGTGTGCTCCTGACATTGGCCCAACATGCTTCTGTATCTTGCTACCACCGGTAAAAGAAGTGTATAGAAGGACATGAAAGTTTTCAAGTCTGGAAGTGAGCATGGCCATTGGGAAAATGACCCAGGGGCCCTGGGGCTGAACGTATGAGAATAAAACCACCATTGAGAGGTCAATCGCTCACTGTGATAAGAAGTGAATTTTCTGGGCCTGGGAGATGGCTCAATCAGTAACTTGTTGCTATGCAAGCATGGGGACCTGAGTTCAGATCCCCAGCATCCATGTTAAAAAGCCCTGCATGGTTGTGCACATCTATCACCCTAGCATAAAAGGGCCTGGGAGATGGCTCAATCAGTAACTTGTTGCTATGCAAGCATGGGGACCTGAGTTCAGATCCCCAGCATCCATGTTAAAAAGCCCTGCATGGTTGTGCACATCTATCACCCTAGCATAAAAGGGTGGAGACTAGCCAGAAAGTTTTGACAATTGATGAGCTCCTGGTTCAGTGGGAGACCTTGTCTTAAAAAATAAGGTGGAGGGGAGGGGATAGATATGATCACATTACATTGTATGACATTCTCAAAGAATTAAACACTATAAAGTAAGGTGGAAAAGGGTAAAAAAGATAGCTATCCACTACACACATGACCACACTCATTCACAAATGAGCACACATGCACTCACATGTGTACACGCACACACACACAGATAGACACTACACATACAGATGATTTTTTTAAGTGATCTTTCTGCTGTTGTATTAAATATTTAAATAATGACCTGGGGGTTCAGAGTAGACCTTGAAATTTTTCTGGCAGCTTTCATTTCAGCAGAAAGGTGAGAAAGGCTGTATCTTTGTTCTGAGAACTCCACCCTGTTCTGCAGCACTTGAAGTTGCCTTGGAACCAGTATTGTTGTTTGAGAGGCATTCCTAAGATCCCCGATCAGCTTTGCCGAGGGTGTGTAATTATGTAATACAATTGTTACATGCCCTAAGTGGGCCATGAACTTGAAGAAAAAAGAGCCCCATACATGAGTACCCAGTGAGGCCTGAACAGGGCACGGGTCCCCAGGACCTGGAGTCACAGATGGTTGTCAGCTATCTGACATGTATGCTGGGAACTGAACACTGGCCCTCTGGAAGAGGGGTGAGCACTCTCAAACCCTGAGGCGTATGTCCAGCCCCTGTGTTTTCTTTCACTTTGTGTCAGTCTTGCTAGAGATGTGTCTTTTTTTAAGAACCATCTTTCTGTTTCATTGGTTTTCCTGATCTCTGCTCCTGTTTTGGTTTCCTTTATTCTGCTTCCTTCTGGGGTGCTTTTGCCCACTGTTTTTTGGTTTCCTATGGGGAGAAACCCTGATCACCAGCTTAAAGTGTTCCTCCTTTCTAATCTCAGCCTTCCGTGCCATGAGCACTCCCTTGGGCACTGCAGTCGCTGTGCCCAGAGTTCTGTGCAGTTTTCGTTTCTTTTGAAACTCCTTTTTTGGCCCCATGAATGATTCAGTGGTGTGCTCTGTGATGTCTAAGTGTTTGGAAGTTTTCCTGTTATTTCTGCCTGCTGAATTTTAACAACAATCTAGGGCATTGTATGGCATGTGGTCCATGTATTCAATCACGACGTCACAATGCAGAGCTCAAGATATATGTGTTTGATAAATAAGAGTGAATGAATGATTGGCACGTTAACTTAAAAATCAATGAAGAGAGAGCTGCAGGCTGAAGGGGTGAGGAAGATGGCAGGACACTGACGGTGACTGTCCCGGGTAAGGAAATACAGCTGCCTCACGCTTTCTTCCTTCTGGGTTCCACACTCTCTGTCCTAGCAGACACAGCATTCACAGCCAGGCTACTGACTGCTTTCACTCTCTCCTGGCAGGTTGATCAGAATCTGAATCACTGAGAGAGCCAACAGGGAGGCCATAAAATGACCCCAAGGAGATCCTAGAGCTAAACTACTCCACACTCTTGCTCAGGTAAGGAGCCTGCTAGCCTCTCAAATTATTGCCATGTGTGGTTCTTGCCATGGTTACTGCCCCACAGAGGTCATGCATGTCCATCTAATTGGCAGGCCAGCTCATCCCTCTGTTCTCACTGTGCAAAGTCCCTAGACATCCTGAGAGTTAGTGTTCACTCAGGATATCTTTTTAAGTCTTTGCAATCAACCAGCCACAAAGCCACATGTGAAATTTGGTGGCCATTGTAGAGATTCTGGGAGGCAATCAAGTCCTTCAGAAGGGCCTGTGCCATTCTGCCAGCCAGGGGCAGGTTGACCGTACTGAGGGGGGCTAGTTAACTAGCTGGTTCTAAAAGTGCACTCCACTGCCTTGCTTTCTCCCTTTCTGCCGTATGATCTCCTCTGTCCCTCTACCTCCCCAGGATCCAGGCTGATGCTGGGTCTCTCTTTCTGGATGTCTGGCTTCCAGAACCATGCATAATCAAAATTGTCCCTTTATTATCAGTCTTGGGTATTCACTTTAGCAAGAGAAAATGGATCAAGATAGCTGGAATGTGAACAGGAGAAAAAACAACCATCACATAAAAATCACTGAGATCTGACAGTTCAGACCCACTATTGTAACATTACCTCAGTGGTACATGTACAGATACACATATACACACAAATGCACCATGTTTTGCAAAGGAGGAACCCAGGACCATGGAGGGAATCTCATAATAGATACAACCTCTGTCCCCAAAATCTTTCCAGCTGAGTTGGCAGATGAAATTCCTAAGCATTGTATAATAATGATCACAACACACGATGATTGTGCTAGTCAGACTGTCATTATTGTAGCAAAATAACTAATATAATCAGCTTATATGAGAAAAGGTTTATTCTGGCTCACAGCTTTGTAGTTTCTAGTCTATGTTGACCCCATTGTTTTGGAAGCCTATGACGAGGCAGCTTATTATGTCAGAGCTAGTGGCAGACAAAAACTGCTCAGCTGATGGAATCAAAGGAGAGAGCGGGAAGAGAAGAGAAAGGGGCTTGGGGCCCCATGTACCACCGGTAGAGCACAGCCTACAGTCCTTCCATTTGGCCCCACCCCCAAGCAGCTACAGTGTCAAGAAAAAGGAATAAGGAAACTAGACAGGATGGATGGAAGTTCAGCTCAGATGTCACCAAGCTTCTCACAAGCTCTCCTGACCCAGTCATTAAAAGAAAATTATACAATGAGCATGTACATGCTTTTGTGTGTGTGTGTGTGTGTGTGTGCACATGCTACATCAGGTACATGGAAATCTAAAGACAACTTGCAAGAGCCAGTTCTACCACGTGGAACACAGGGATCAAACTCAGGTCTTCAGTACTGGCAGCAGACACCTTTACCCAGTGGCCTAGCCTACCAGCCCCATCCAGTCTTGACCCTTTTAATTGGCTCTCTATCCTGTGAAACTGCCCTCTGTACACCACATTGTAGGCTCCATCCTCTCATTGTAGACCACATTAGAGGCTCCTTCCTCTTCCTGAATACCATATTTAAGACTCCTTCTCCCTGTGGACCACATACAGGTTCCTGGTTAATCTGGCCAGTGGAGGCCAGGGCAGATGGCACAGGGCAGAAGGGTGAGAATGGGTTGTTCTTCCTCTGTCTTGTTTCTCCAGTTGTCTCAGATTGACTGCACTCACCACTCCCCAGCTTCTCTCAAGATCACCTTTCCTCATAACAGTTTCCTTCCAGATTCAGGTAATTCTCTCCCCCCCTTGTCCCTCAAGGCCCATAATGAGTTACCAGCTCTAGACACTCCTAACACCTTAGGAGTCCCCATACCCTATCTGAGCACTTGTAAATGGTTCTTGTATAGTGCATTCCATAGGGTACTCATCTGAGTGGCCTTCTGTTTCCCTCCTCACGCGCACAAACTTGCACATACTCCCGTACACACACACACACACACACACACACACACACACACACACACACACACTAAATGTAATAATTTTTCTTTTAAAGACAGTGTGAGAAGGGGCTGAGATGAGCTTGGCAGCCCTCCAATCCATCCATACCCTGCCTGATTCACTTTTCTTGACTTTGCTGTGTAATTAAATGTGCATCTGGTAATGGGGGAGGAGATGTGAAGAAGTGTTGATTCTTATGCAAGAAATGAGTGCTTACAGGGCTGAGTGTCTCCCCACATGAACAAAAGGGTCTTCTCTTAAAATACAAAAGCATAAGGAACAGGTGGTGGCTTTTCCACCCAGGACGAGTAAGGGACCATCATTAGGGTCTGGGTCTAACACAGCTCTTGACAAATCCTGGAGACACAAACCAGTCAGGATTTCAGGTCATCATCAAGCTGAGAAGTTTCCTGATGCTTCCTTCTCTGCCATAGTTGACACCAGGGTTCCAACTGCTTGTGCTCAACTTGAACTTGGGGACACAGGCCTAATTTCTACAGCTCAGGGACAATTTGGCCTTTCCTTTGCAATTCCATGCAGAGATCAAAGGTGCTTGGAAAAGGAGTTAGTGCCTAGATGCCACCTGGCAGTCCCCTTGGGGAGTCCAGTAGAATATTCACTGCAATTCTCCATTGATTAGCTTGTTTTCAAAGTGGACAGTGGAGATGCCAGGAGCTGGGCTTGGGAGAGTTCCAGGCCAGTGCTCACTTTCCACCCTGAGCCCACTCCTTAGCTCCACCTACTCTGGGAAGGTGCCCCAGGAGGAGGTGGACCCAGGAGTCCTACTAGAGTTCCCAGAAGCATCTGGAGATGCAGACAATGGGGTGCATACTGGGTCTGGATCCCAGCGAGGTTGGGTTTGGGCATGCCAAGAAGCAGAGTTAGAGGAAGCTCAGGTGGTAATTTGGAAGATTTAGGAGTTCTTGGGCTGTCATCGGATTTTACTGCCACTGGTGACATGCTAAGTTCTCTCCAGAGTAGGAAAGACAGGAAAAAGGAAGGCCAGGTATGCCCGTGTGCCAGCTCTGCACAATTGGAGGATGAGACAAGGCATGGAGGAGGGGGCCAGATGCTTTAGAAGGCTGAGAATACATGCTGGGACCTGGGCTAGTACTCACCAGGCAGAAGCAGAGGGCTGATAAACTCCCTGCAGTAGAACTTGCCTTGACAATAGCTCTCATGAAAACGAAAACGTGCTCTTTCAGAAAACAAGAAAATGAACATTGTTTCCGTCCATTCCCCACATAGTAGAGATGTGTCTCATAAGAAAAAACAGGTTGGTGATGAGTGGCAGAGGAGAAACATAAGAAGGCAAGAAGAGGCAGAATGGGACTGCCCTCAAGCCTTGCCCCATTGGTCAGCTACCGGATACATGTTCTGCAACTCCTAAGAGCTGGACTTTCCTTCAAGGAAGACCCAGCTGGAGCTTCTCAGTGTACTTGATAGCATACATGTCTGTCCCAGGTCTTATGGAACAGTAAGTAACGACTCCCTAAGCCTGACCTAAGACTCTGCATTTAGAAGAGGCCACCCCTAGTCAGGGTCGATGTTGCAGACCCGTGGGACACACTTAGATAAGTAGCAAAACCTCAGAGGATACCAGCTCCATTTGGGCATACTTCTGTATATCTCCAACTTAACACAAAATCACAGCAGATGTGATCTAATTCAGCATCTTGGTGATAATGACCCATGCCTTGACATTGTGCCCATGTGGCTGCTTCGGGAGCATCATCTCCACCTCCTACCTCAGCCCTCCCCAGTAAGAGTAAGCATCAATCACCCTACATAAGATGACCTGACCAGACACCCCTGCAGCAAAGGCCAGCCTAATCTCTCACCTTGGGGAAGGTCAAACTTAACTTGGCCTTAACTTGGTCAAGCTTTGTCTTGTTAAGAAAAGGCAGTGTCTCCTCTTTCTTGGGACTCCCTGTCTACACACGTGTACCTGCACATTTCTGAGGGCCTCAGTTTTCTGGGCATGTCTGATAGTCTCTGCTTGGGACCTATCATGTTCCTTTTACATAATTCTAAAGATAACCCTATTTCCCTGAACCCAGGGTCCAAAGGAGTCCCCTCTAGGGTTCAGAATTCCTGTCAATGGCTCTGTGGGGCCACTTCCCTTGACACCTGAAACACACAGAAATGTTTGAGATGGTCCTAGCATAGATGACGGTTGAGAATATACTCCACCAGGAGGTTGGGTAGTCTGCATCGCTCAGTGCAAGGGCCAAGGCTGCCTGTTTGATGAGCAGGAAATGCCCTATGTAGCTTACTCACCCACACCAGGCTTGACCTTGGCTTGCTACTCCTGCACAACTCAGCTGCCCAGTGTATGCTGGGACTTGCAGGTGGCCAGCATTCCTTTCCCATGTTCACACTGCCATATTCCCTCCATTCTTAATCACATCAAATGGGGTAGCTTCTGCTGGGCTGTACTTAGGTCCAAGAGCCTGTGCTGTGCTCCAGAGTGAGGCCCCTTAGGAGCTAGCATACACATCACACAAGCTGAGGAGTCATGCTCAACCTAGGACACTCTGTGAGAGGGAGTCCTAGAGAGAGGAATTGTAGAGTGGAGAGCACAGAGGGCTTCCTGGAGTAGGTGAGACTTCTAAGCCCTTTAAGGGTTGACTTATTATGAGTTGGTTCAAAGTTCAAAGAGTCAAGTACCTCAGAGCAAGCTTATTCAGAAGCAAGGTCATAGTAAGATCATAACAGATATAATTAGGTGAGACAAGGTCATACTGAAGTAGTAATGACTCCAACTCAATAGGATTGGACACCTAAAGGGGAACTTGGAAACAGGCACATGCACAAGAAGAGAGCATCCCATGAGGGTAAGGCAGAGCTAGGCAATGCTTCTGCAAACTAAGAAATGGCAGATGCTGGGGATGGGCAAGGGACCCACACGCTCTTACCAACAGAAGACTGAAAAGAAGGAGTCCTATTGACCTGGATCTTGTACTTCAAACCCCCAAACCAAGCTAACAAATGCCTGTTGCTTAAACACCTAGACTGTAACAGTGTCCCAGAAGCCCTAGCAAATGACGCAGCTTAGACACACAGCAGGGG